AAAAGCGCTGCCACGTTCTCCACGTACAAGAATTGCCTTGCGTCTTAGAATTGGAGCAATTGTTTGTTGCAAGCGACTTGTAAGATCCCTGCAACGATGGCAGAAGGTCTCCAATCCTGAAGAGGTGAGAGCATAGCGACGACCTTGCATCCTGGAGTCCGCGTTGCCCTCCAGCAGTTGAGACCCCCTGCGCAACAAAGCAGCACTGACAATGAACAGCGTATTGAGATTACATAACAGAATTCGGGACTTTTTTTCCATCCGCCAACCACTGGTTGCATTTGACGAGGGAGTGAGCATTAACGCAACAATTCGAATTTGTGCTCCGAATTCATGTCACACTCTAATCTGAGACCTTGCTATAGCAGTCAAGCACATGCGCATCTCGAGGTAACCAAAGGCGGCAGGGGATTGACTGCCCAGCATTCGCTTTCACTGATTCAGCGCCACTTGTTTGGCAAGTTGGTGTCCAAAGTGCGTGGTCCAAGAAAGGGAGGTCATGGGCAAGGCCAACGAAATCAATCTTGCTTGACCCGTCGGCCCTGAAGAAGCGAATGCGTGCCTTCAAACAAACAACCATCAGCTCCTCGCAAGACAGTGAACTGTAGCAAGAGCTTGTTCCAAAGACTGCCGAAGAGTCAATCTCAAAAAGCATGGTAATGAGTTCCTCCTTGCGTTTGCCAGCTGGGTTTGCGCCAAGCTCTTGGCATAAGCCAGCCAACACCTGCTTTTGAAAGCCAGAGAAAGACGGCAGCAAACTAGCTTTGCGCTTGGAAACTGTAGCTGGCGACATAGCATGGCAGTTGAAGGTCTCGCTAGTGCTTGCCATTGCTACTAAAAGCAGTTCTGACAGAGGACACTTCTTTGGGCCGAGAAAAAACCTTCCAAGCACGCAGGACAGCAATCACTAGTTGCAATGTCTTGAATGGAAAGCAGCAAGCGGCGCTACCCCGCCTGACAGGGGAATCCCCCTCCGACCCCCTTCGCCTGCAGGCTCTTGATGGTCGCTCCTTGCAGCGTGGTGACATCATCATGGAGGGGGCAGGCAGGGAGAAGTGAATCTTTCTGCCGTGCTCGCAGCACCCGTTGTGCAAAAGGGTTCTTCTCCACCTGGGAGGAAAACATGAACTCAAGTAACAAACGGTGCTCTTCCTGAGAGACGAGCCATCATGACAGGGTACAGAATCCTTGAGTGGCTCGGCCCACACTAAACTTCCAACGCTGCACCTTGAGGCTTGCACTCTGACAATCCCAGCTCCAGCCCACCAACTCCGGCAAAGAGCGCAATGGTGGGAATCTTGTTTTCCTGGCCACCAGGCTGAATGTTTCAGACTTGAAGGTGTGACACAAACTACCTGCCTTTTCGCGGGCGTTGGGGAACATCTTGTTGAAAGTCCGCTTGCAAACGCTGCCTGGTCTTGGGCATGTCCATCCTTGGGGCAATCCTGAGTTTGCTGCAGCATTGGTTTGGGCAGCTTCTGTTGACAGTGTTCTTCTGGGACCCCTACCACTGAACCACTCGCAGGTCTCCGCTCGCAGAAATTTGCCGGGAATGCCTTTCGGCCCCAGCGCCTTGCGGTAGGCCTCGCTGAACGCCACTTGATTTGCCAGGTCCTCAGGATTTATGTCGAAGCACAAGAGGGGTTTATGAGACACACTTGGCTGGGGAACAGGCCGAAATTCCACGGTTTGTGACGGCTGATTCAGTCACACGAGTAGAAGCTCCAAAGCACCCTTAGCAGCAGGGTAAGTTGAAAGCTCCAGCCATTGCCCCGGTTCAACGCTAAAAAACCCTTGCTGAGACCCTTGCTGATGCAGCTCCAGGAAGCAAACGTCTTTCTTCCAAAGAAGATGCCAGATTTGACACCAGGTTTGGCCACAGACTTGCGCTTGTTCCGAGACACCTTGCACGCAGGCGATGTCAAGCCTACTATTGGACTGGGGCGCTGGCCACGACAAGGTTGAGCTTCTTGCATTCCGGTACTTTGGCCTGGCGGGGCTGAAGGGGTTCAGACAAGAATCTTCCACTGAAAGGCATGCCTGCAGGGAGACCAAGCTAAACTTTTTCTGAAAAGTTGTTGCCCGCACGCGGCCCACATGGGGCAGCTTTTCCTGTCATGCCGCTGGTATGTCTAGCAAGACCACTGCGACAATTTGCCTTGCTGAACTTCAGGAGGGTCGCTGTCTGGGAACACTTAGATTCGACCTGCGTTAAGCCCGAGGAACGAGTGTTGAGACCTTTGACTTGAAACTGACAGCCTGCCTTGGAGTTGTTCTGCACCACCTTCCCAGTACACTGTGTTTTGGTTTCCGGCCTCGGAAAAACAGCAGGGCTTGCTTACGATTGTGTCACCAAGGTCCAGGCTCGTCCTCGCTGTCAGTGACCTCCGTGATGGGCCGAAGAGGCATCGGGCTGGGCCTTGCAATGCCACCGAAATCCTGAAAAGGCTGAGGCCAGGCAGGTCAGCTTGTAAAGGGACGACGGTATGCCAACAACTTGTTCAGGGTGGCAGGCGGATATGAGTTCATATTTTGCTCACAAGCCGTGAGAATCTCCACAGCACGGACCCCTCCATAGGCAAACGAATTATGGGAAAACAAGCTAATGAGGAGATTAGCATTTAATTGAACCAAAGTAGCAAGCATTCATGCGGCGAAGCTTCTTTGGGGGCGTTGTGCGCCCAAGTGTGGAAGCTGGCCTCTTAAAAGATACCGCTGTAGCAGGGAAGGAACCTTGTGCCAAGGCTGTTTCAGCTTCTGTGGGCACAAGCGACTCGCCAGAATCCGAAAGTTGGGGCTCGATTTCTTCCAAAGAAGTATCCGCTTCTAGCGTTAACACAAAGGCCGACTCACTGATTGAGTCAGCTTCGGTAGGAGCAGGGGAATCCTCAACTACGATCATTTGTTGCTCAGCTGTTGCAGCCGAATCCAGTGCCTGCACGGCTTCAAGTGTCTCGTGGGACTGAGTTTGATCAAACACCAATGTTTGGGATTCATACTCCTCAAACACCAATGTTTGAGACTGGTTTGCATCTGCTTGTTCTTCGGCAGGCTCTTCGCCCTGAGAGCTCAAAAGTTGCTCTTTCAGAATCAAGGTCTCCTTCAAGTCCCGGGTTGCCAGCAGCTTGGCCTGCGAGCGGAGCCCCAAATGTTGGAAACTAAATGACACCAACCCCCAACCTTGTCCCCAAGCTTCAGAGCAACGGCTGTTGCAACCTCGCAATAGAGGAACTGCACCTTCAGATCGTGAATCCCAATGAGCTCCTTTTCGCCTCAAGACAACTTCAAATTTTCAATGACATACCACTTTGCAGATCAGGTTCGGACGCGTTTTCAGGAACTCCAGCCTAAGTGCCAATAAAACATGAACAAAAACAAAAAACTGCGTGAGGACCAAACGGGAACCTTCGGGACATCCACTCCCATGTCTGAAGCTTGTGCAGCCTCATCGCAGGTTCTCGCCGGGAGCCGCTACAGCTGCAGTGCGGCGCTGGCAGCAGCAGCCAACAGAACACCACCACAGCATCCCCCGGGCCCTATAACCAGCTCTTTGCCAAATCCCATTTTGGCTCAAACAATCTTTGCCGAAAGGTGCACTGCTTCTTGTGGGCGCACCAGTTACAGCGAAAACGTTTTATTGACCGTATTTTTGCATGACAGGCAGTTTGGTTCCCGCCTTTTAATGCCCAGTTCCGATAATCCAAATTCATTCGCCCATGGGAATTCAAAGATTTGCCTTTTGAGGTGGCCACTTTTTCCAAAAACATTGGCTTGACAGTTTTGGGGAGATGGCCGCGACGCCTTGACGCGAGAGCCGCCTTGATGTTTGCTACCCGGTAGGTCTGGACGCGCACCGGCTTCGAGTCCTGAGGAAGGAGAGACGGAGGTTTGAACGATCACGGATACGTGGTCAACAGGTTGCATCGCCCAAGCCTGACTTCTTAAACGCCTGCTGCTGAAGTTTGGGGTTGTCGTTTCTTGTTCTTTATTTTTTTCTCCTGTTTCTGGGGAGGGGCCTGCGCTCATTTATTTAGCTCGCTTTGTTGTTGCTCTTGTTCTAAAGTCAATGCCTTGCATTGGCTGTTTGGTCTTATGTATGTTTTTTTTTTTTTGGCTTACGAGCGTGCAATGACTGCTGCTCACATGTAGCAGCGGCGAAAGCGTCCAAGCGCACGTAGTCGAACACCTCAAGCCGGAGCATTACCTTTGCAAGTGTACAGTCGCAGCTGAACTGCCGCCATGATCTTTCCGCTCGCAGGAGGTTTCTATCAATCGCTCCGGGTACTCGGACAACATTGGCCAGAATCAAAGACCCAAGCCGGAGCAACAAGGAAACCTCCACAAATGACTCTTCTTTGTGCGATCCTGTTTTGTTCAAGCCGTTTTCCTGGGGCTGTTTGGTGGCTATCTGGAAAAGAAGGGTCCCTCGAAAGAATTCTAATCCGGCCAGCCAGTCGCTCAAGAGGAGCGCCTCGCTCTCAACACATCGTAGCCCTGCGTGGGAAAACAACGCCTGGAACATATGGGCGATGGCTACTGGGAAGAGTCAGGGTATGGCTTGCCCATTACTGGCGACTAAGCGTGAAGCGAGCTACTGTGGATGGACGAAGTCCTGCACTACTCAAGAAACCATGGAAGGATTATTCTCCTGCAAATCCAACGTACAATGGTTTCCCATGGTTTCCAAGTGGTCCTGGACTTCGTCCATCCACAGTATGGAATATATGTATGTATGTGTCGCTATGTTGGACCAAGCAAAAATTAACGGGCAAGTTTGGGGGAGTCACTTTGAACCCACCCAAATGGAGGCATGAAATTTGGAACCGTTGGCATTGGTTCCCTTCCCCATGTCCTGGGGTTTGATGTCGGACCCCAAAAAAAGATGGTTTTCCTATGTTTTCCTCGCTTTGGTGGTTTCCCCCCCCCGGCAAACCAACCTGAAGAGGGCCACACGCCCGGTACTGATGTCAGCCCAGCCCTCGCGAGCGGCTTCGCTTGAGGTGCGAACCAGGGCTGGCAAGGGCGGCAGGAAGGGCCGGCCGGCACCCTGGAACCCTTCTTCGGGAGGGGGCGGGAAGGGAAGGGAAGGGAGCCCAAATGCCGTAAGTGCTTCAGAGGTACCTAGGTCCGGTAGAAACGATCTCACCCATGAAGGTCCTCACCGGATTTCCAGATTGCGAGCGGGAATTTGCCCGGAAGCTTGAGCGCATAGCTCAGCAACTGCAGGGGTCTTCAGTTTTTTTGGTTTCAAAAATGCTGAGGCACGAGAAGGTGTACCTCAAGGACTGTGCCACTTGCGCCGATTGCGCCCCATCTCGAAGCGCCAGCAAACCTGGGTGTCGGACGCATGTTCAGGGCCTCCCATTTAAGACACTGGGTCCATCTTTTAGTGAACTGGAATTTTCACTTCCTCAGATTTCGAGGATGTCACTTTGAACCCACGTGGAATTCCGACCAAATCGGCACTGGTTCCTTCTTGTCGGCCGAAATTCGGATTCGGCTTGCGTACTCTCATGTGGGCCACTTGGCTTTGTTTGTGTTCCGCATGGGGCGGGGGGGGGGGGCTATCATCCATTTTGGACCTTCACAATTACACCCGGTCTGACAGGTACTTTTGAATTCAACGTTGAGCTTGTATCTGGGTGTATCTTTGTGTGAAGGGCCCCCCAAAACATAATTTCCTTTGTGGTTTCCCCTTCAAGCCAAAAGGCGGTTCCCCCAAAAAAGACGCCCAAGCGGGTTGAAGCAGCGGGTGGTTGGAGAAAGTTCGGGCACAAAGGGGCTCAATAACGCATCCCTTACAGCTTCCTAAGTCTACCAGCCAAAATGGAACGCAATGGTGTTTCTATTCGCCAGGCTCGTTGTTCCCAGGGATCCCTCAGCACGGGGAAGATGGCGTTTTGCCAGTGATTGGGTTTGCGGCGTTCCGTACACCTAGGGGAGGCGTGGGGATCCTATGAGTGCCTATGAGCCTCAACCAGTCTGGACCTGGCGACCGTCTGTGCAGCGCTTTGCAGGAGGAGCTGATGCCTGAGGAATCTCGCCCAGAGACTGCCATGATGATGGGAGGCGGACGGCCTTGCTTCACATGTCTCTTTGGATGTCTGCGCGCGTAAAAAAGAAGCATCTCTAGATGTGGTTGTTGTTTTAATCTGGGAACCTGGATTCTGAGTGCTATGTTGGCAGTCACCGATGGGGCAGGAGCGCATGAAGGTCCACTTGATTCAGCTCAAGTCTGGGTTTGTTTCGTTGCGAAGAGTTGGGTTCGTTTTCTAATCTTCCTCCAGATCCAACGGTTGAATCGCTACGAACAGTTTGAGCCTTCCAAATCCTAGGGATGTGGAGAGGACACAAGTGGGGGAACCCCGTGAAGTATGCCGAGGTGAAACCAACCGAAAGGAAACCTCAAAATAACGGGTGCCAACCATGTTGAAAAGCACTCATTTCACGCGCTCTTGTTGCCTCCTGCCCGCTTTCCGGTGGTGTCCTTCCACCAAAGACCATTGCTCATTCCTGGTGCCGAAATTTTGGGAGCAAGAACGTAGTCCTGGGCAGTCTTGGGGGCAAGACTCCGGAAGACAGAGAGAGAAAGAGAGAGAGAGAGAGAGAGAGAAAAAAAAAAAGACTCCTTCTGACGCTGTGAGGGTTTCCTATTTGGGCACTGAAAGCCTGTATTTTTCTAATTGTCCCTGAAGCAAACCAAAGGGCGGAAACTGGTCTGATAGCTTTCTGCAGATCCGGTGCCAGGCGTGATTGTGCGGTACAAGGGCAAGGGCAAGGCCTGGCTTTGGAGTTGGATCTTTGCTCCCAGCCAAGGACCCAAATTCTACCACTCTGTTTTTCTTTGGGACCAAGATAAAGTCCTTTGGACGCCTCTCAAACTTCTTGGCTGTTTGGCTACCTGCCTCCAGGCTTAAGAGATGATTTAACGTGGCAGCACGCAGACTTTCCCCTGACCGTTTGACGTACCGATCATTTCTCCAAATGCCCACCTTTTTGGGTATTCCAACCCATAAAGAGCGACCTTTGTTTTATCTTTGTAGTACACCAGGTTTTTTGTTTCAAGTGCCCAACTCCCCTGGGTATTGAGAGTGAGGGAAACGGATTCATCTATGCCGTTCTTCGCGGAAGCCTGCGCCAGGGAGGAGGCCGGCTCCCCAGAGAGCGGAAACGCTGGTTTGATGCGGTGGCCACCCCTCCCACCCCTCCCACCGCCCCCCCCACCCACCCCTTTTTGATGGTACTCCCTGGGCCTGGTAGCGCAACTTCGTTGCAGGCAGCCGACCCAAACTTGTGAGGGGTTTCAAAAAGCAAGGAGTCTACAGAGCATACAACACCCACGGACTCGCGTTCTTGCATTCGCCCTTCCCAAGTTTCACGAACACCGAGGGGCAAGGGACGTCGGCTCTCATTGTTGTCCGGCGGGACGCGGAACTTTTTGCCTTCGGAACGTGATCTCAGGGGCCTTACCTCTGGTCTTCTCTCATGCCCTGCTTACGCTAGGGGGTTCTCCCATGCGGAAACACCCCCGTGGAACAGAAGGTGGGCCCAGTGCAAGAGCGGGGAGTTTGTGACCTGCGCCGGCGAAATGCGAGCGAAAAGGATTCGGGACCTGCTTTCCGACGGTTAATTTCGAGGGTTCCCAGGCGCTTTAATTCGAGAGGCTCTTGGTGAAGAAGCCAAATTTGGCGTTCCAAGGAGTTAGGCTGCAAGTTCCCTTGTTTGGAAAGGAAATCCTTCTCCAGGACATTCGTCGAAAAGGGAAGCTTCGAAAGCCCAGGACCTTCAGGATCTGCCGGGTCAACATCCAAAAACCGCGGGCGATTGGGGGATGTTTTGACTGGCCAGCTGGCATTCAAAAAAAAACCAGCTAGTACATCCTCCATTTCCTTTGTTTGGAACCACCGAAAGTGGCGATCGGTTCAATGGACACCACTAAGTTGACCAACTTTGAGAAACTCTGACCCCTGTAAGGCCAGCCCGATTGCTGAGGCAAGAAAGGCGGCAAGGGGCCAAGCGTGTTGAGGTGGGCCCATGGAGCCGCTTGAAGGTGTATTCGAACGCCTTCCGATCGAGGGAACCTGAGACATCCAGTTCTGGGCAAATCAAGGAAAGGGGAGTTACGGACCCTTCATGCAGGTTTCTTTCATTTTCTTTCCTAAGGATCCCTTCTTTTCTGTTTCTTGTTTCCCTGTTGGCGAATTGAAGCTGCTTTTGGAAAGTCATGCGATGTCCAAGAGTTTAGACGTTGGGCCTTCAGCTTGCAGATGCGAACACTTCAGCAACTCAGACATGCCACCCGCAGCAGTTTTCAAGACTTGCTTTCTAGCGCTGGAAGCCCTTTCAACTGGGCCAACGTTTGGTACTATCTGACCTCTTTTCGCTTGACTAAAATGATGATGGTAAAGACCGAACCTTGGGGTTGGGGTTGAACATAGAATAATTCATTGGTCGCTCCGAGCCGTTCCTAAAAACGATAACCCCCCCCCCCCCAAGTGCTTAAAGTTGGTCAACGGTTTCCTGTGGTTTCCTTTCATCCGGGTTGCCAAGTTACAACTTGTGTTATTCGAACACACACGCATAGGGACAACTATGCCTATTGTTTTTGGAAGGACCTCTGTGCGAAGCTCCAAACAAATTTGAAGCAGCTCCTCTTACCAAATGTGAAGGTACCGATCCCTTTACCTCCACTGAGTTACCTTCGCGAGAAAGCTTCTGGCCTTCGTAAGGGTTCCATGTGGCCCAGACCTCCAGTGCCTCCCTTAAAAACCTCACCTCCCTGGGAGGTCCTGGACGTGAGTCTGAAACATTTTAGTGGCAAGCAAAAAGGGTGGCTATTTTTTGTTTTTTGCTTTTTTTGCAAATCCCCTCAAGAAGTGAGAAACACCTCAAAACAGGTGCTCTTCTTTCCCACCGCCCGGAGGGAATGGGAGGATACTGTAGCTGATCTCAACACATCGGTGCGCATTGTCCATGGATCCGAAAAACGGGCGGGGCCCGCTTAGCTCAGCCAGACAAACCACGAACCACTTTGACTCTGTAAGTTTCCCATGTTTACAAATATCAGCCTACTTGCAACCATGTCCTGGCGAATCAGAGCATGGCCGACTTTTGCATCTAAGTCGTCATGGTAGGTGCGTTGCGGTTGACACATTACCTGAATGGGGCCTTTGAAAGGGAGTTTCCGTTTGGTGGGGATGTTGAATGGGGGGGGGTCAAACATGGGATTTGCCCGCGTCCTGGGGGAGCATTCGCAAATCTGAAGAGCGTAAGCATTTTTGGCGTGCATTTTGGTCTAGCCCACCAGGCGGGGGACGCCAAGCGACGCGCCGCGGCAAGACTTGCCCCTTGGAGCGCAGGGTCGCCATGGGTGCCGCCCATTTTGAGGGTTGCAACATGATTAAACAAGAACTGTTTGAAGCAGAGCTGGTTGACGAATAGCCGTTTCAGCAGCACTACCAGAGGCGGGTTGCCCAATCCGATTTGGTCGAACCCTGTTCGGACTTGCTAACCTTGTGAACTTTCCGGCATGGCTTTCCTTCAATTCGCCTTGCAAGAATCAAATGGTGAACGTGCGCAGGCTCTGGCCCATTCTGGCCGATTAGGAGACCAAGCGTAAAACTGTACATTGAGAATGGTACGTGAGGATTTGTGACCCCTTCCGGGCAAAGGTTCGCTCCGATAACAAGCGCTTTCCCTTGGTATCACCAACCTACAACTCAAGCCAAACCAATCAAGGCCAAATTTGACAAGCAGTCCAGGTCCTGGCAGGTGAGCGGATAGACGCATGTCTCTGGGTCGATTCGCCCAGGCCCCACAGGCGATTCGCCGGCTTGCCCTCCACCGGCCTACCCAAGGGCTGCCGAAGAAGACCCCAGGGTTCCATTTTTGTTTGAGCGAGCTGTGATGCTCCACCCAAAACATTAAAAAAAGAAAACGAAAAGAAAAAAAACGGGTTGCCCCACCCAAAAGAACCTTTGGACCCACATCCGGAATTGAGCCACAAAAAGAGCCCCAACCATGGATGCGGATAGAAACCTGGCAGCATTGTTACACTTTGATTTCATGTTTTTTTACTTACTGGGCAGTGGGGTACACATGGGACACAAAGGTATTGTCATTCCTTGTATCAACATGCGAGGAACTGCGCCATCTACGTGCACCAAAGTGTGACAACAGGTGAGGCTTTGGGGGCCAGCTTATGGCAAAACCCTGCGGTGTTGACTGTTAACAACAGCTCAGGTGAGCCTCTCATTTGGGGACAGCCGGGTGAGAGGCGCGTTGCTTCAGCCAGATGCGCGCGCTGCTTGCGCTATCTTGAGCTCTATTACCAGGAGCTCAAGGCCCTTTTCTTGCCAATGAGCAGCGTAACCCCCCGGTTCTAATAGCTCGCTTGACAGGATTCAGCAATGTCCCTACGAAGTGTCAGTGTTGGCATGCCAAGATCCATCGGACTTTGGACGCTGCTCACATGGTTTAGACTGCGCGGCTTTCATTTGGCCCGCCTGAACTCCCATCCAATCGGGGGCTTTCTTGCTTGAGGGCTGGACAACCGGCCCAAGTGTCTCAGACCTTTTGGAAACAAATGGCTTCTCATGCGGTAACAAGAAAGTCAACCTAGAGTAGGTTTAACCTTTAGCCGGGAGTAGCGGGTGGCTCTCCCACGCAGATGCGAACCCTAGAGCGGAGCCATGGGAATCGTAGTTTACTAATGTTGACCCCGGGTCTAAGCAGAACCTTGAGATTCAATAGGGGGGGTCCTTGCCTAAGAAGTGAAGCACAAAAATGGCATCTTTCCGTTTCTTCAAGGGGTGCGCAAGGTGTTTTGCTTGTTATGCCTCAGGATAAACGCCCCTTCCCAAGCCCCTGCAATTAAACGTGACGCCACCCGCAGCCGTCGCAGCTCGTGGCAAAGTTGAGCGCGGGGTTCTGGTGTGAAATTATGTATGCTGCATATGTTACAGTTCACGTATGGACCGGAATCTAGCACATGTGCTTTGGTTGGTTGTTTCGGCTGGGTTACATCAGTTGGCAAACTTGCCGTGCCAAGCATCACGCATACTTGTTAGTTCACGAGCATAAGGAGGATAGTCAATTTGGCCCGGCGCGTTCCCGCGTCGCCAGGCGCGGAGAACCCGATGTAGTTTGCCATTCTGCCTATTTTCTGGTGAGCTCACATGGAGTTGTCCCTGGTGTTGTCCCTTTACTTGGGGATCCTGCACTTCAGCTTTTGTGTGATTATTTTGGACATTTGCAGACCTTCGGCTCGATTTCTGGGATGTCTCTCCCGCCCTTACTTTTCCTTCGGGTTGGGAAAGCTGCTTGCCTTTGCTTTCAACTTCTAAGTGATTTGATGCTGGATCTCTTCATTTTGTCCAGACCCCAAGAACTCACACTTTTCTGGGTTAAAGCCTTGCCTCCTTTCAAAGACGTTATTAATTTCCCTAAGGGTGACCTCAATGCAAACCCCACTTCGGGGAATCCCATTCCTGAGGGCCTTGCCCGGGCTGTTGACTAAAACCATTTCAAAAAGTGCCCCAGAGAAAGAAGAAGGGGTAATTCATCTGGGTGTTCGGTATGTTCTTGGCAACTGGCACCCTGCTTTTTCAACCATGTCCAATACATGTAGAACCCGTTCCCATGGTCACCCAAATGAGTAGTAACAGTCGGAACCTCCCCTTCGGTATTTGAATAGAGTAAGGTTGGAACTAGCTTGGTGAAAGTTGAGTCGGCGCAATTCCCTGTCGGCAAGCAAGTGGCTAAACCAAAGTGAGTTGGAATTTCCCAATCTACTTTCACCCAAAGCCAACCTTCCCGAATGCTGATCACCAATTATTTTTCTGGGTCACTGGTTACTGGGCAACGAACTCTCAGTGGAAGGCTTTTGGATTATCTTGCTGGTGCTCAGTAGGGGATCTGGGAATGGCCGCAGGGGTGTCCAGTTAGGACACCACCAATTGGATGGCTTCTAATTGGGTCAAACCCTTTTTTCGCTCCCTGCATCTCTCGCACCATGGCGACGGTTGCCGGAACTGCCAGGCAACGCCATGGCGGAGGATGCCCCGGCCGCGGAGGGCGAGACGGCCAGGGGGCCTAGCCACTGAGAAAAGAACAAAAACTAACCCAGATCTCAGCGGAGCTTAGTGGGATCATGATTTTGTGTTTTTCTCTTTTTTTAAGGGTTAATTGTCGAAGTCAATCAAAGGGGCTGATCCCCTTTGGCCTGCCACATTTATAATGGCAATTGTCCAAGTGCAAAACTAGCACGTTCACAATGGCAAGATCATGGGGCCAGCTCTCGGGTAGCCCTTGAGAAGCAGGTTTATGGTATCCTACCAGAACCCTGTTACTCACATGGTTCAGAGCCATCGGCAAAGAAGGCGACGAGTGACATGTTTCAGGGAGCATTCCTCTTTGAAAGGCGAGGGAGGGGGTGGTGTCACGCTGGACCGCTTCAACTTGGGAAGGGTCCGGCTGGTTTCATCCGAGACACCCACGTGGGCATCCTCAAAAAAAGGCAGCAGTCACTGCTGATGTCGAGTGGCTTCGAGGTGAGCTTGAGCCAGCAGAGGCGTATCTTCTCTTGCTTACTACCTGGCAGCGGGCTTTGTGTGAAGGCAAGTCTGGAAGATGGACGGTCTCGAGCACAGACATCCCAACATCGTCAAATGTTGTCCTCGTCGATCACTGGAACATTCGTGCCGAGGGAGCACGGAGGGCGCACAGACTCGCGAAGCCTTCCAGTGGCATCACGGCCTTAGAGCCAGCGTTTCTGGAGAATTGTTGAAATTGCTGCAACTCCTTGCGCGCAACCGCACTCGCAAGCTCTTGTCACGAAAGTGCCATTCACACATCATGTTGGCAGTGTGTCGAGTCAGGGGCACCTGCATCAGAGCGTTCCCTTTGAAGGAACCACGGGGAAGCATACGTTCCACGGGGATGGGGAGGAGCAGTGGCTCGCACATGTGCATTGTGCATCGTGCGCGAAATGCATTTCGCGAAGAGCCGTAAAAGCTTGATGGATTCAAAAGACCCTGGTTGATTACTAGGCTGTCCCGTTACAAAGGCGAGGATTTTTCATTTTCTTCATGCACACTCCCCTTTCTCTTGCAGGTGTGTTATTCCAGAGTCAACATAGACAAAGACCATCTTTGCTGAATGGTTGCCGTGTTCGGCCAATCCATGCGATTCCATGGGATTTGAGACTGGATCAGAGTGGGCAACCAAGCCACGGTCCCCCTACTGATCTTAGCCGGATCTTGCCGGGAGATCAGCGCCAACAGTCCGGGCAGCGGATTCTCTTTGGTTGTTTTGGGTTCGCCGCCGCAAATCGCCAGGTGTCCCTCGGTTGGTTCGGATTGGTGGGAGCTGGGGGATTGAACCCCCGAATCTTGTAGAGGATGCATGGGGAACCATCCCCCCCAAAAAAAAACATCACCAATTGGCTGGGTGAACCTTCAAGAAGAGTGTTTTTGTCATGTTTTTTCCAGGGTCGCCTGGACAACCGGGGACAAGCCCGCCCAAGCGATTCCGGTGTCCTTTGGGCGCTTTGGGCGGCCAATCATTCTGGAACGGTCTGAAACGGAAGCCAGAGGGGTGTGGATCTGGGTTTAAATGCCCTCGCCCGTTTAGCCACCAAAGCGAGCCACCGATCAGAGGGAAGCAGATGGCGACTTTGACTGGCCGATTCCAATTCGGCTCATCCGGCACCAGCGCGCGCGCCCAGACCAACCTCAACGAGAGCACCCTGGATTGGCCGGCCTCTTTGCTGAGGTTGCAGACCTTTGTGTGTGTGTGTGTCCTGGGGTTTCCTTGACAAGAATCAGAATCTGAAGAAGGAAAAAACATCAGCCGCGAAACACTGGGGCAAACTGAGCCAAAGGTCTTTAAAGGGGTGCCCACCTATGTTTCAAACAGTTTTGGCCCGAACATGATTGTTGTGCAGATGATTTCCGGTTGAACCAAGCTGAAAGGGTACCGAGAATGGGGCTGTGGGGGGACTTTAAACCCGGACTAGGCAATGACCGCAAAGAAACATCGCATAAATTGTGCTCCCTGCAAGGTCTAGCTTATGCTTCCAGTGCTTTGCTTGTGGCCACCCCTTTTGCCGGTTCTTCGGCTCGCAGATTTCGATCAATGAGAACCTCCGTTGCCGCCAAGTACCCTGATACCCCTGGTTGGTTTGGACTTGTGGCTTGGGAATCTCTTTGATGCACATAGGTGCCCTTTTTTTTGGTTGGTTTCCTTAGAAAATAGAGGGCCCTGGTTTAGATGATGCTGATTCCATTTCCCAAGGCCATCTGTTTTTTTCTCAAAGGCCACCTATGATCCTCCAGTTCTTGTAGGCAAGTCCACAAGCAAAGCTCCGAACTACCAAGAGGAAAGCGGGTTGCGTAGTGCCTTTGGCCTTCAGGTGAAGCAGCGGTCGCATCTCGGCATATATAAAACGCGGAAAGCCGCAGGCGATTTTGGGGCCTTGGATTTTTGAAGTGGCTGGGTACTCGGTTGATTAAGCAAGTAGCATCCCTAGTTAGAACCCAATTCATGCCATACAGCCATGGTAAGTGGGTTATAACCAGGGTTGCTAACCACTGAAGTACTTTGCTCCGTTAAGGAAGGTTACACGCCTTTTCATGAGCAGGGGTGATGGCCTCTGGATGAAGAACGCGCGTTTGCCGCTTGGTTCTTGTAGCAGAATCGGACTGGGTTGTGTTTAGATTGCATGGAATGGTACCATTGGCCCTTTAAACAGCTTAGGAATGCGTTTTGGCGGCATTGCCATGTCTTTCCGCCCAGCATAGCCAGAAGACACTTCCCCAATTGCATCTTCCCGTCTCCGAGTTCTTGATGGATGCTTTTAACTACCACTTGTGGTGTTTCAACCTTGCAACAAGCAGTTTCTGGGAGGTGCTTTGATGAACCCATTCTACCTCTCGGTGCTCACTTGGTTGACGGGGGTTTGCCCCCTGTGGGGTGGATACCCAGTTGTCCAGCGTTTCACCCCTATTCCGTCTTCTTGCGGTGGGTTCCCCACTAGACATGGTCAACTGCCGATCAGGGTCAGTTGCCTTTTGGAAGGTACCCTTGGTGTTATCAGTGTAAATCAAGAAGAAGCCGCATTTTTCCCTGTGGTCCACCATTCTATTTTGAGGTTGGCATTGGTTGCAACTGCCAAGGGAAGCCAAGGGGGTTTGGGAAGCCAAGGGGGAAGCCACCCATGGGGCAAGCCGGTCACGGTTTTTTGAGGTGCACGGATGCTTGGTGCCTCATTGTCTACCTCGCCGGCTGGGCCGGGTTTGGCTTTGTCACCATGCTGGGCTTCCAGGATCGTCCGGGTGTTTCTTCAGAAAATGAGGGTCCAAAATGATTCCACTTGCTCAATTTCCGCCCTTTGTTTTAAAGAGAACCTATCACTGCTGGAAACCTGTTAGATTTTTGAAGTCACACTTTGGGATCCCATGGATTTCCACCCGCCGCCTTTTTGCAGGACCTGCCCTGTTTTGTTTTTTAAATAGCGTCTCTGTTTGACGCCTCCTCCTGCCCTAAGTTTCTAAGGTTTTGCAAGGACTTTCTAGATCCGCACTGCTGTAATGCCCGACCTCCAGGAATCTAAATAGAGCCCTTGCCCCCCCCCTGCAGCATCCCAACCGCTGCCTGCAACACTTTCACTCAACTTCCTTCATTAGCGCCATCCCAATGGGAAAAAACAAAGAGTCTCAAGATGCAATCCGGTGAGAAAAATGAACCTGCCACAGGGACAAGAGGCCAGAAGCCCGCAGCTGAAAGACAAGTTCCAGTCTCTGATAATTTGGGCAGTGCCGGCCACTGAAGGCATGCCAACTCCTAGCCTCTAAGAAACACCTCCAAAAACTTCCGGGGAATCTGTAAACATGTAAGGAAGTCTGTACAGAAGTTGGCAACAACAACAAGTTGCACGAAGGTCTGGTTTAAGTCCGTACCAAAAACAGGAGTGAGTATGTGTGGACAGGCTTGGCTCGGCAACAACATCATTGTGCCTCGGTTCAGGCTAACGCCCCACGAAGCGGAATACATCCGGATGCATCGGACAGCCTGCTGTGAGACCCATGGCCTGCTTGTTGTTAATGAGTCGGAAGCCAGTTTGTTTGGTGCCATGCTTTTGGCATCGTCGGACCAGTCTGATTTTGGTGATGAGGCCAGTTTTGAACAGTTTTGGTCTGATCTTTGCCGGGTCCAGTTGTTGGTCGGATCAGACCGCTTTGGTCCCAATTGTTGGTCTGACGAAATGGCTCAAACCATCTTGGGCCTCGCACGCAGGAGGGCAACCCCACCAAGTTGTACGCACCCCGTGACTATGCGGGTAGTTACTGCGGCGTGGACAGCAACTGGCAGACGGGCTACAACCTGACGCTCGGCACATTTGCCCCAATTGAAACCAGCGACCAGCAGGCGCACATTGCTGCATTCTAAACGGTTATGTATTTGCTTCATTTACCCAAAGGGAAACTAAAAGCAGCGCGTTTAATTCTTCCAGACCAGCTTTTATAGCACCACAGGTTCGCAGAGAGCAACGCAGCTTTGCTAATTATGCTTCGCACGTGTCATTATTATCGGTCCTGTTGGTTTTATTTAAAGGCATCCGACATGGACTTCTTTTGCAGGGCAAAGGTTTCAGAGTGGCACCATTTGCAGTTAGAGTTGCACTGAGTACAAGGATTCTGGCTGCTTGCAAGTTTGCCACCCTCTGGCATGATTTCAAGCAGCACCAACCCAGGGTTATGAAGACAAACTGGCTTCGCTCAAAGTTGACTTGCGTTTTCGGCCGTGGTTTGGCCACCTTGGATTGGACCAACTTTCAACAGGCTTACTACGCAGCCTCTGCCCAATTCGTGCCTAACGACAACATTTTGACTTGTTCCCTGAGGTCTTGGACTGCGTGCCTTTTTGAAAAACCTTTTGGTGGCAACCAAAAAGTCTGGACTTGTTTTGGCCAATCTACGCAAGTCCGAAACTAGCATGGAAGGATGCAATAATTCAAGTTTGGATGTAGAATCTAGCCTTCTGCTTTCCCACCAACCAAAGCGAAGCTTCGCTTTTTTACCGCAGGGCCATCATTTTGACGAAGGGAATGAGTGGCATCCTGTGTGCATTGGACCGCCTGAGCCTCCTCAGTAGGGTTGAACTTCTCGGAAAGGTTCACCCAATATCTACTGGTTTAGGGGTTGATTCCGATTCCATTCTTTCCACCAGAATTATCGCTGAAAACAACACCAACCATATGCTTTGGGCGCTCGGTGGTTTTCAAGCAGGATCAGTGCATGGGCCCAGGAATGGCTTTCCAAGCCTCAGCTTCACTATGAACGTCACGCGCCTCGGCACGCACCAGGCATGCGCCGTGCGCGTGGCCCTGGGCACGTTCAGGAAGGTTTTCGGGGTGCGAAGGGGTAAGAAGGCCTTCAGCTTCTCCCTAAATGCCACACGTGCTCTTTGTTGTTCGGTGCGTCCAATCAATCAAAGAGAAACTCACTGCACTGAAGCTGTGCGCCCTGACTACTCAATGTATAAGGGCGCAGGTAACGGCTCAGTTGTTGTGTTTCGTTGTTTCCTCTTTGTCCCCATGCGGCTGGCGGGGAAGCACTCGATTCGTTGGTTTTCACGGCACTTTGACAAACCGCAAAAGGCTGACAGTCTGAGCCTTGTGGTGCCAAGGGCCACGACGGACCTGATCGTGAAAGAGCTGCTGCTGGGCTGCACTTGGCGTTCGCCTAGCTTCAGGTGTCTCCGCTTTGATTTTTTACCAAACAGTTTGGGGCAAGCAAACATATGAAACAGAATCTGAAGGATATGTCTTTCTGTGTGGCCCCTTTTTTTGTGGGCCGAAAGCGTGGCCAGTGAGCACATCGACTTTTTTGTCCGGGGCTGCGGACATCCCCTTGAGCAACCCTGTTTAAACTACCCTTGGTTGGTTGGTCGGTTGGGCCTTTCGGACCACAAGAAGTCCGAGCTTTCGGCCAGGAGAACGCAATGAAACACCGAACCTGGCTAGACCAACCTGGGTGCCCGGAAAGCATACAGCTTCCCTCTTGTTTAGATATGGCATTGCGGTTCTGAACCCATGAAGCGGCAGTCGGCGCATGTCTAGAGGAACCTGACAAGGTTCAGGGCCATGCTGCTGTAAATGGACAAAATCCAGCGCCAGTTAGGATGGACGACACCTGATGACGCCCAACGAATACTGGGATGGGATAAACTGTTGCAGGAGTTTGTCCATCCACAGTATGGCAGGACCCGCCTTCGAACAAACAAAGATGCGCAGAACAATACTCGCCCCCCCCCCCCCCCGCCCAAACCAGCAGAATATACCCAAATAACAACATAACATGTCAGATGCTGAAGGATTTTAAGCAGGTGGGTGGATGTGGGCAGCTTGCGGTCCAAAGACGCTACCCGCCGCTCGCCGCCGGAGGATTTGCTCGGCGGCGGCACGGGATGCATTGACCTCCGGCACCACGCCACTGCTGAGCACCTTTGAAGCGCGGCAGGCGCGGAGCCGAGCTTCGAATGGGACGGTCGCGGTTTTTCAGGTACCAGGCTTCAGGCAGCCCAATCCGTACCATTTGGAGCCTGGCGGGTCCTTCAAGAATGCTTAAGAAACCCTTGCTTGGTTTGGATTGATGGTTTGGGGGATTGGAACCACTCCGTCATCTCCAAACCCATCCAAACCAATCAACCCATAGAATTCGTGGCACATCATTTGAGCAGGTTTGGGTGTGCCATTTCGTTTGGAGCCTTGAGCTTCCATGTTGCAGGTGGCTTTTGGAAACCTACGGGGCCAGACCAGCCACAAAGCCGACAGTGCAAAGAGACAACAGCTGGGATGGGTGCCCTTTTGGGTCCGCTGGTACAGATTGGTTTCATTCCATTTACCAGGGACATTGTTCTTCTTGTTTAAACATGTTCAGCTTCACTATGAACCACAATCAAGTTTTTTAAATATCATGTTCGACTGTATGACATGAGTAGCGTGAGCGCCTCCTTTTTTGAAGTTGGCGTTTCTCCGACTGCGCGCCGGGGAGGCATACCTTTGTGACTGCTGCCTCTCACCCTGCGAGAAGTGCAGCGGAAGCTACAAGACGGACAAGTTGGATGGCAGCAACGTTCAGGCGCCAGATCTTGTTCGGGTGTATGTTTTCTTTTTTGAGGATATCGGCTTGGGTTGCAAAAGGGAATCTAAAAGGAATCCAACCAGTCTGGCCCTCTCTTTTTAAGACATACCCGGGTAGAGTCTGATTTTCCCTCCAGCAGGAACGATTTCTTGGTTGGAGGCGATCCCTCTTGAAAAATAAGAGCCAACAAAGGGGTGACAGTGGACTCCATTTTCCACTTCAGGTGTGGGTGTTGTCTTTTTCATCATGGTGCATGTTAAGGTGCACAATGTTCTTCCTAGTTGGTGGCAAATCTCTGAGCTCTGCGAACATCATCCCGGTGTCGAGGTGTCCTGAGGAGGAACACATAAAGCGGACATTTGTGGTCCCTTCGCCACTTTCTGAATCTGTGAGCGGAGCCCTGGGCATGTTCCCTGGAGTCCGGAAAGATCATGGGAGGCTCGTCCACTGGGATGACCCGATCAAAACGATCTTTTGTTTCCTGCTGGTGTTTGGTAGCCAAGGGTTGTTCAAGGGGAGGGAGTGCCCTTGCCCACGCGGCTCTTTCATGCCTTACTCCCAGGGGCAGTGCCTGAGATGGTCTTACTGTCAAATCTGGGGGCCTCTCTGGTTGGTTGGTTGGTTGGTTTCGGGTCTGCCCGTGTGTCCAACTCGTTTGATTTTTCGAGGGGCCCTGGTGTTTCCAGCCCGCCCAATCTGTTTATTTGGACTCCTTTTGCCATTCGCTGTTTTGGGCGAATGCCAGGTGCATAACAAACAGGTGGTCCCATTGTTCGACTTTGGTGCCTTTGCTCCTTCTCACTCCTTACCCAATCTTTGAACATTGGGAGTATCGAGAAGGCGATGGCAAAAGCGAAATGACTTTGAACAAGGGGGTGCTGATAACTCGTTTATATCAAGCATGATTGCATGATGCATTTTCGCAGTTGAATGTGACGGCCTCGATCTCCAATTGTGGTGAATCAATGAGGGTCCTCATCCATTGGCCCCTTGTCATCCATTTTCATGGAAAACCCTCTGATCCTTGGTGGGCAAATGGAAAGCAGGGCCTCTAAAACTACGCCATGTGGATGGACGAACTCCATTTCGCACCGTTCAAAAGCCCTGGATTGATTCGACGCCCCTGCAGATACCAAGCAACCAATGTGTTTTTTCTCATAGTTTCTTAGGTGGTGCAAATGTTTGTCCGCCGTATCTTTGGTGCATGTTGCTTGGATGTTGGGACTTTCACTTTTTGCCAACTACTGGGTTCTTTCAACTAAACCACTAAAAGTTAAAAACTTTTAGCAGGGAAGCTGACAGCAACCGAGGAGTATCTTAGGGCATGGCATTGGTGCCTCTCATTTCTCCTGGGCGCTCGCTAGGGCGCCATCTCGGGGAAGATGTCGGAGCTCACGGGCGGCGCCAACTCGCTCTTCGACCCCAGCGGCGCCAACGGCGCCCCGAAATTCGAAACTCGAAATTCGCGGGGCCGCGGGCGGAGATCGCTGCGACTCAGCTGGTAGCTGTATTGCAGGTTTGCTGGTGAGGAGCCAAGGAGCTACCAGGACTTCTGGAAGATGGTGGATGAAGGTGTACCTTTCAGGTTTTGGACCTATCGCCTCAACTTATGGCCAGATGTGCGACATGTGCAAGCAACTCAAAAAAAATGTTGCAACCTCGTTCTGGTCTTCGTTTGAAGGGGCCCAAGGTGTTTCACTTGCAGGATGAAAGCAGGCACGATTTCCCCAAGTTGGCTTAGTCATCCCCTTTACCCTCCAGAGGTAGCTGTGACGTTCACTTTCACCTTCACACTAATTTGGGCTGAGCAGGTCATGGCAGGAGCAAATTCTAGTACGCAGTGTTTTACCAAGCAGGTTACGGAGACAGCAAAGAAAAGCGGCGCTTGCCAGAATCATTAGCAAGACGTAGCCGCCCGAATAGGAAGTCTTTGAGAAGATGCCCTTTTGTCCTACACTTCCACGGGCAGAAAGTTGGAGTTGGTCGTCCCCTTTCCTTGCCAGTATGAAAAGTGCCCAGGCCATTGGCAATTGTAGGTTACAATATGGTTCCACCACCTGCTTGCATGGTCTGCAGTGAAGCTGATACAAGCCTTGAGCTTAAAGTCCCACATTGGATTTCGGGTGATGTGCACGTCCTGCTCGTGCATTTTGCTTTGACTTTGGGCGGGGGCGGATGGAGAGCAGGTGTGAGGAAGCGCAGGCGTGAAGGAGACGGGCTCCGAAACCCAACGCTCAAACTTTGAACTTTGATGCGTTGTTTTGTTTCAAAGAACTTTTGGTGTGTTTGAACTTGTGTTGTTTTGAACTTTGATGTGTTTGAACTTTTGAACTTTGGTTTATGGGAACTCAAAACAAAGTTGAGAGATTGAAAACCTTGTATCTGAGCCAATGGGAGCGGGACTGTGAGGGGCTTGTGGGAGACCGAGGTGACTTCTTCACGAACATTTGGAGCCAAGCGACGAAGCCAAGCGGCGGCAAGAAGATGCGGCTTCAACTTTCACTTGCCATTTGGGGCTTTGTCTCCTGTGTTGTTGGTTTCTGTTTGGTACGATCCAACCGCGGCCGCATTTCTTGGGTCCCTGTGAGGTGCCATGGCAACGGGAGGGGAACCTTGGTTGAAAACTCTTCCCCCACGCCCGGCAAAAGCTTGGACCAGATCGAGCTATTTGGCACGGCACCATGCGCTCCGAACTTGGCGAGCATTTGACGGGCGCAAGGAAGTTGCCAGGCGCAAACATGCAACAAACAAAGGCACTAAGTTGTTTTAGGAAGCATCTAAACATGAGCCCGTACATGAATTCAATCTGTTTAAGCATGAGGACCACATCCACCTGTTCATTCACAAAGGTTGTTTGACCAACTTTGCTGCGATGAGTTTGGGAAATATGCCTGTTTAACACTAAACAAACAGTGAACCTTTTTGGAGAGGGGTAGTCGCCACCAAGATTGCCCAAACCTGCAGCTCAGGTACTTCAACATGGTTTGCCTGACGAGCTGCGATGTGAAGCTCGGCGATATCGAGCTCGCGTTCAAACAACCTGCCCAGCTGCCTTGTTGGAATCGAGGTCCTTCTGAACCTTCCTCCAAATTCGACCTCTTAAACCCTTTGGGGAAGACTACTTTTTTCACCTTGGCCCAAAAAGCTTACAGATGGTCAATTTGACAGCGAACCACGGAGCAGTAGCAAGCACCAGACAGGAACATCAAGCGGGGCGTCCGAGACCCATAACAGAGACAACTGCCGTTTGTTCAACCAAGCCGGCTGTCCAAAGTGGAGGGCTGTCTTGAGAGGCCTTTGTTATCAACTTTGAGTAAAAGAGAAATATGGGCAAGTCTCTTGTGAGTCTTTTGTTTGGGTGCCCACCTTGAAACAAATGGTTTTCCTTGTGGTTTCCTTTTTTCAGCCAGCCCCACCCCCAAATGGGGGTCTCTGCAACTCTGCTGGGACTCCTGGCGAGGAGCTTCGAGTCTGTGAACTCTTCCTCGCGGTCCTGGACCTACGAAATGGCGCCCGGGCTGGGTCTAACCATAGTAATTGCGATCAGAGCCGAGGAACCATGGTTTGAACCCTACTTGCCTAAGTGAAAAGGGAACATCCAAGTACCCCGCCTGGATGCAACTACTCCGATGTGTGTCTGTCTCAACTGTCTGAAAATGGACAACACTTTAATGGGCGCCTATAGGCACCGGCTGAGCCGAGCCAAACACTTGTTGACATGTTTGGTCCTAGGCTGCAAGCATGAGTCATCATGAGGATACCCGGCAACACCAAGTTGAATTTGCAGCTGGGTTTTCAAGTGGAGCCCCCTTGAGAAGCTCCGGGACTAGCGAATCACCGGTCACCAGAAAGCTGTGATCCTCTGTGGCACATCGATTGAAGGATTGAAGGACACATCGATTCTCACTGAAGCCGCATGGGGCATGTCAGGAATCGCGGGAGCCCTCGGTTGTTTGGGTTCAACGGCAATAATCAAACAAAGCCACTGCCCCTTCTACCTCAGCTCTTGGAAGCAACAACAAATGTCTGATTCTGTTCCATATTTAGGAGCCCGAACGGACCATGAGTAACCCAGGTGTTCCTGCGTGGTTGTTGAGGCTCGCCGTGTTCCTGCTTAAACACCACCCGCTTCTTTCGGAAGCTTATGTTGAATGGACACTTCACTCACCCAATAAACATATGTTGTGAGGAAGCTCTGTTTCAATGGATGCTCACATCACCCAGGGGAAGCCTGAGAAAATCCTGCTGAGAATCTCACGTTGAGTTGCTCAAAAGTGAAAGACACGAAACCCGCGGAACAAGGCGGTTCATGGTCTTACCCCAGTAGACCTTCTTCAGAACTTTGCTTCCCCTTGGGGTTAGGACGCTGTCTCTGTCTTTTGGTTACCCATCTTTTGGTTACCTACCCTTCAACCTCGGTCAGCGAATCGACCATGTCAACCTTTCAAATTTAATTCGGCCAAGGTCCATCCGTCAAGGTTCCGAAAGGGCAACCTTGCATGTCCAGGCCCTTTCATCACACAGTCCCTACCCCCCCGCCCCCCCCCCCAAAAAAAAAAGAAGCAATAAAGCAAGGCTCGAGGCAAACGCTGTGGAAGTGCATGTTCTTGATCGAGCTTGCCAAGGATTGCCAGGGCTTGGTAGAAATTAATAAGCCTCAGCAATGCTCAACACCCTTCATGTTGAGTGAGGCTCACAAGAAAGTGTCCACTTCCTTTGAGCCGATGAACGTTTCTGCGTTTAGCGAACTCTCCACTGGATCAACTTGTTTGGCAAACTCCTGGCCACAAACATCGATCTTTCGCACTTTCCCAGGCCGACATGGATCCGTTGCCCTTTATTTCCCAGAGGCCCCCAAAACTCCCGGCGTCCACGTGTCTACGGCTGGGTGGGAACTCCTTCGAATTCAGGCGCCAGACAATCCCCTGGCCTCGTACTGGGCCCTGCCGCTTGAAAGCAAAGCGTTCCTGGGAATCTCGCTGCTTCTTCTTCGGCAGGAGGCCTGGGCTCTGCTTTAGCTTCCCTGTTTGGACTTGGGAGAGCCTGGGTTTGCTGTTGGAGTCCTTGGTTCTGGTTGTTGGGGGGCGGCAGGTTTGCCCACATGGTGCACAAGGTCTTGCAGGGGGCCCCCATATGTCCGGTTGATGGTTACACATCACCTCTTGTGCAGAGTGAGTTTCCTTGTGGTAGGTTGATGCTTGGGGGAAATGCAGAGAACCCTGTCAAAGACCAAGTGCGACCAGGGTTGCCATTGTTAACTTCCCGTCCCATTCAACCAGAGCGCCGCTGGTTTCCTCCAAGTCGGGAGGGACCATGCACATTGCAAGGGTTCCAGAGTCGTGTCGTAGCCGTACTTAGCTTACCTCTGAACATGTTGTCGTGTTTCCTTGATTTCCCCTCTCAGCCAGCAAGCACTTAACTTTTTTGCAGGGTCAGATCAGCCTGGCCCGGGAAACAGCGTGATGAAATGACGCGTACTGCTTTTGGCTAACGGCAACTTCGGATTGATCGAGGCCTGGTTGATTCATATGAGGGTGTACAAGCATGGGTACCCTCGTCAAAGCGCCCAGTTGTTCAGTGGCACCCGGTTTCCCTTTTTGTTGGGGGTCTACCAGGGTCTCTTTGAAGTGTAACTGGGGTGTTTTGCCATTGCTGGTTACGCTTGTGGAAGTTTTATGTAATGCTTGTTCCTGTTCATGGCACGCGGGAAACAACCCGCATGCCTCACTGCAAACAGTGATGGGACCTGATTATGTTGATGTCATGTGTGTGGCTTTGAGATTCGCATAGCAGGGTTTTTAGAGTCGTACCCAGCCCTTCTACAAGCATAATGTTGACCCCGGATTAGTAAACCCCTGTTGATGAATATGGGGGTTCCGATCCAAAAGTGATGAACCCCCACTCTGAATCCAAGGGCACCCCCCTATCAACAAACAGGGGTTGAATAATCCGGGGAGAACATTAACTCCACACGCGCCTCACTTTCGGAACGGTACAACCTTCAGGGTAAGACAAGGGGCCTAGGCCCTTTGAATGTAGGCCTTTGACACCAAAAGGAAAGGAAACTGCGCGTCTTGGAGGTTCCCGATTTGGGACCAGCCATTTCAAATCCTTGAACCGTTTTGGGGCGTCTTTTGTGGGATAAACCTATACATGGGGTTGCCCACTTTGGTATCATAGCAAAATCCGATGTTCAACAATCATGGTGAGCACTCCTCCCCCCCCCCGCGGAAAAGTGGCCCTCCAGTTGAAACCCTTGAGCAAATTGTTGAAAAGGTGTCGTTCCAGAGCCGTGCTTGAAACTAGCTTCCAATGCATATCCCTAAGATGAGGCTGAAAGCAAGCGGGCCGACCGCCATCAAGGACCAGAACAGAAGCCACAAGAGACGGAACGGGCGGCGTTTGCCGCAGGGAGATGGGCTACCCCAGAGATTAACCTGGGGTGCCCAGCAAAGGGTGTCCCCCAACAAAGAGTCTCCTCTAAAGATTGTGGCTTTTGGGGTTCGGAGTTCATCAAATAGGGAGTACTGAGTGGGAGCCCGAGATCAAGAGTCTACAAAGTCTCGGGTTGAATTTATCTCTCGCTCCCCTGCGTCAGTGACAGGTGCTCGACCCCTCCTTGGTTGACACAACGGTTATCGCTTCCTTCAGCCGCAGCTATAGCAGGGCGTTGCCTCAGCATGAAGTTCAGCCGTTGGCAAGAAACTGGTTGTTTCCAAAAAGGAGTAGTGTGCTTTCGCTCATTAAAAGGGCGCTTTCCCTTTCCAGGTTTCTTTGGAATGCCCTGGTTGCCTTCGGGGAAGAAGTCCTTTGGTTCACAAGCTGGCCTCACCTGTGTGCTTTTGTTTGGTCGCACGGCTTTCAGGGGGAGGCCACGGCTTGGCATACCTTCCCCATTCTGTGCAACCATCCGTGCCACAGAGGTGCAAACGGCCTGGGCGGAAGGCTGCGAACTTGAAACTCAAATCAGATCTTCGGGTTTGCCCATTGCCATGGTTGTTCGAGAGGAACAAATCATGGGTTTGTCAGCGTTTAGTGCTTGACCGTGATTTAGTTGACAGCTAAGCCTGTCCCAGTGTGACCAAAACTCCCCAAAAGCAGTCGCCTTTATAAGTGAGACCCCGCTTCAAGCGCGGACGTCAGCTCGCAGACAGTGACTCAAAAGGGGGGGAAGCCTCACTCTCAAGCAGGGCACTCCGCTGATTAAAAAATGGCGGGCGCATCCCACTGAGGTAAACAAAATCCACCAAGCGTTGCATTATGGACGACAAGTTAGGCTAGTTTCTTATCCCATCCACGCCGGAGGTAAGTTATCCAGGTCGGGCAAAGCTTGTTTAAGACCTTGCTCCTCCTTAAGGTTGAGCCCAAGGTGACTGTTTTATCAACTGTGGTTTGAATGCCCTCGGTGGGACCTTTAATCTTCAACATTTTGCGGAAATGGTGGATTTCAATTAGCTATTCAGTTTTTGGGCAGGGGCAGTAGCCACCAAGACATTTGCGCGTTTTTACAAGACGAGCACCAAACTTAGCCAAGGCGAATCCAGCAAGGAGTCCCCCCCAAAAGGAGACTCCTCCAACTACTAATTTTGGGAAGCCCAAAGCCTCCACTTCGAGTTGGAAAAATAAATGATAACCCGAACCTTTGCACTGCAACAAAATTGAATCGACCGAATCTGACCTTCTGATTTTCCTGTGGCTTCTCATTTTGTCCATGGCCCCAAAAGTGATGCTTGTCCTATTTTGGGGTTACCATTTTTTTCCGGTGGCCCCCCAGAATTATGGTGAGATCACCTCTGATTTCCAGTTCCGAACACTTTGAGTTCGCAGGACACCATCAGCTCCTCCTTCACCTTCAAAGCCTTGCCCACCTCCGTCTGCAATTACCCCGATTCGAAACCCGGCGAATGCGAATGCACTCGCATCCGGGTCACAACTTATCACCGGGCGGTTCTTCCTGGGAGTTTCCTCGAGGTTGGCGTGTTCTATGTCGATGTGTTGTTAGTCGTAGATGTTGTTATATTTTTCTATATAGATATACAGCATATGTGTTTGTTTGGTTGTTTGTTTGTTTGTTTGTTTATTTATTTAGTTATGTATGCAGTTATTTATTTTGTAATAGTTGGGTTATATGAATGTGTTGGAGTTTGTACCCTGGGGCCCGAGCCAAACAGACATGGGCTGGCAGATTGAAGTGCCATGTGAGGAACAACCGAAGAGGGTCCCACCCAACGACAAGGACATTGGAAAAAAAGTATCAGGGTTGGGCAAGTGTGTTTGCGCAATCAGGTTCATGTGGTTTGGATTGGCAATTTTGGGGATTAATCAGAGGGAAGCTGAGACAAGCCCGCAAGGTTAGCATAAACTAACATTTAGATGGTTTTGGAATCATGGGTCAGGCTTTTTAAGGCGTCCTCACAGGCCTTGGGGCTATTGTCCAATTGGCACATTGCTTTAACTTCCCTCCAGGGCAAGTTCTACTTCGGGGAAGTTGCGCGAGCTGCCAGGGTCAGTCTACTTCGGGGTGCTTGGAGGTGCTTCAGGTTATCGGGTGGGACCTCACTGGCTGGATGTATGAGCCTCTGGTCTGCTAGTTTGCGGGTTCCTTGAAATGCGGCTTCATTCTCGGAATTGGTGCCCAGAGGGCCCCTGCCATCAGCCCAATTTTCTGGCCCCAAAGGCCATGTCACGCCCTTTTTAGGGTCCATCCGTCCTTTCGGTTGCATCGCGGAGCTCAGGAAGTGCGTGCCGATGCCCGGGGTGAAGTTCAGTGAGACGGTGCCACTCGGAACGCTCCATTCCAGTCTGTGGTCGAAAGCCGACGGTTTGGTTTTTCTATATCCGGGGGGTTCTCAACATATGGGGGCCTTAAAGGGAAACCACAAGGAAACCACCCTGAAGGGGTCGCCCACTTTGAGAATACTTATAAGTGAAACGTACCAGCATTTGCGTTCACGATGCCCCCGGTTTTTTTTTTTGCCTTCTTCGATTGGTAGACAAATGGTTGTTTTTTTCCTGCTGGTTCTCAGCAGGCCCACAAAAAGTACGATGTCCCCTTTGGTTGACCCTACTTGCAGCAACTGGGTCCAGACGTTGTGGCGAGCACCAGCTTGTCCGCATTGTCCTTCACAGAGGGCCCCCGCATTTTAGAGATTCTCTTTAACGACCTTCCCGAATTCTGACCATTTGTGGCGTGCCTGTTCCCTTTGAACCAACCCCAAAAGGGTACCCTCCAAAAAAAGAACGCAACGCTTCCAATAATCTTTTCTATGGGCTTCCACGGCCTCCCCAACCGCTCCGAGGCCGGGATACTGCAGCCGGTGCCTCAGCTCTCCAGAGACTGCCAGGTGCTGTCGCTGCCCGGGGCCGAAAGGAGCCTGTTTGATCAACGGTGGGTTCAGATAGGTTTGAACCAGGAGGGGGCAACCCCGAACCTCTTGAATGTTGTTTGGTCTTTGGCCTTTGTCTTTTTGTGTTTGGGAAACTGAGGAGGTTCCCCCAAACCTGTCCTGCACTTGTGTCCATGTCTCATGTCAAGTTTTGGAATTATTGCATTAGCGTCAACTTTAGTGGCTAGCCACGCGGGATCGTAGCCCTCAACAGGGCTCAGTCTACCTAGGGGAAGTACAAGTGGGCTGAAACCAAGGTTGAAGCTTTGGAAGTATTGTAACGTGTTCAGCTTGTCTTGTTTGTTGCTGGTGCGCATCCTCAGTTGCATAGGTAACTTCCAAAAACTCGGTGTTGTTGCATTGGCTTGGGGATTCTCACCTAAGTACTACTTGTGCCTTTTGACACCAAAATTGGGGAAGGTACCCAACACCACACCACACCACTTGCCACCGGGGCTTGGCGTGGGCCGTCCGTCCGTCCGTGGAGCCGTCGTCAGGTTTCGGCATGACGGAGGTGGTGACCAAGCAGCTCGGCAGCGCCATGTCGGAAGCCTTCGGCTCCATCAGCACGGAGGCGCCGCAAGCGAAAGCGACCCGGTTGGACCCAGTGGGACCCAGTTGCCACTCCGCAATGTGATCTTCTGCTTTTTTTTTTTTCGGGGGGGGGGGATTGGGATTCCGCCGATTCTTGTCCTCTTTTGTTTTGGAGGTTTTTGGTTTTTTGGGTTCCCCTTTAGTTTTCTCAGTCAGCCAAAAAAGGATTGCTTTTTGGTGCCGTCCGATCCAACCCACCCGTTTGGAGGGAACATGGCAAGCAAGTCAACCGCAAACCTTGGGAGTTTACATGTCCCTTGTCCCCTGCTTGCAATATGTAGGGCATCCACCGTACTCCCCTGCAAATGATGTGGGCATGAGATCAATCAACTCCTGATAACTCCTGATTGATAGGGTTCTTCCATTTAGAAAATGATTTGGGGCCCAAGCGGCTACTGAACCGAGTCCATAGTACAGCACACTGTAGCTGCATAGATGAGAGTATGGCACTGGCTGATTCTGATCGGATTCGGAGCTGGCAATGAGGAAGCTCTGTGCGGAGATGCGGAGAAGCTGCTGCCTCGAGTTTTGCTGCAGCTTGACACAGCCACGCAACCCAACTCAAGCCGCTCGCCAGACCAACAGCCTGCCAAGCACATCGCGGACTCGGACGCCCGTGAGCGCTTGTTCCAGCGTCCTTCAGTACGGAGCCTCCTCTTGATCCTGGCTTTCATGCTTGCACATGGTCTCTTCCGTTCCTGGAAGTCCATCTTTTTATTGTTTATCCCGCTTGGACTGGCGAGCCTTCCGGAATTATTGGCCGCCAATTCCCAGAACCCGGGGTTTGCCTTAGTGAAGCATTGCAGCGTTGCTGTCTGTATGGAGTTGCTGACGGCCTTGTGCGTGGCGTGTGCTTCAGAAGAAGATGCATGGCCCTTCAATGGCTTCGTCTATCGTTTCTGCACCCGTCATCTTAAAAATCAAAACTGGCCGTTCCTTGGTACTGACCTACCATTTTGGTATGTGACGCAACTGTGGTCAGTGGTCCCTCATTTTGTAGGTGGGGGTTTGTTGGCTAATAGTATCCGACAGGATCTGTTTCCAAACTAGGCTCGAAGCAACCAAGGTATGTGGTGCTTTACCTGGGACTAGGCGTGAACATTATTGAGGCGGTGTTGGTGGACTTGGCGTCTCAGCATACCTTGAACGCCCTTGGGGGCCTTTGCCTGATAGCAAGTATGCCCTTCCCGGGAGCTGGCATTGTCCCATACCTGACCCGAACGAATGATATGGCAGCGCAGGCAGACCTTCAGGGTGTAGACTTATCCAATGAGGACTCGCAGGCCCTGGTTTCAGACTGGTACGTGGTGCTGAGACAAGGCAGACACAGCTTGTATAGCGATGTGTGCTGCCGACTCCCTATATCTTGGATTTGGCTATACACATCTTGGAATGCTTGCTTTATGTTTGATAGCACGATGCTCAACCACTGGAATTTGGCAGTCCTGTTGGTACCGCTCGTTGAGAGCCAGCGGATACTTTGCGTTCAGCAATGCAGCGGTACAGAATCACAGAATGCCTGGGTGAACTCGCACTGGCTTCAGGCAAGAGGCTTCAGCCTATGGTTGTGGTTGGCCATTGGTGGTTTGGGCAACGGCTTTTTCGCCCAGTCCAATTCTATAGCAGACTGGTTTCAGCTAACCCCACAGGATGAAGACGAGGCTCGCCACCGCTGGGCTTTCTTGAACCTGGTTTGGGGACTCCTTCACCTCGCGTGGTTCTGGCATCGTGCCTACCGACTCAGCCAAGCCCAAGCCAAACGGACGGAGGAGTGCGAGGCGAAGAGGCTGTCCCGGTGAGGCAGTCGACCCCCAAGGCGAGAATCCGAACAGACCAGCCTGCTATGCGCGCAACAGGCCCTGTGACGTTGTTGTATTTGACAGACCTCAAAGGTCAATATAATTTCCCAAGATGTATCCGGCAGATTGAAAAACAACCGGGCTCTACATGCCAGATAGTGCTGCTTTATGTCCAAAAGCGAAGCCATGTGTTCGCCCCAGGCCTTTGTTTACCAGAGGCTGCGCCTGGCTGCCAGCCACAGAACCCAAAGGATCATGTTTAAACAGCAGTTTTCGTCTCAAGCGCATGAGATAAGGGTTGGGTTTTGGCGATACGCATGCTTTTGTGCTTCCGTTGTACAATTGGTATTGCCTCGCGAGAGGCCTTCCAGAACCAGCTGGCAGACTTCCAGAACTTCGGGACCCTGTTCGGGGAGGCCATCAAGACCGCGGATACCTTCGCCCTCACGGCGGCGACATGGCGCAATCCGCTTCCCTACAGGAATATGAAGGAATCCTAGAAACACCCAAGGATGCCTATGAAACCCCACAGGGTCCAGGACATTTTTGAGCGATCGCCCCTGAGACGCGAAACTGGGTGTGACGTCCTCAAAATTGCAACCGATGCGCAGTTGTTCAGTGGGATGCCAGTGCTCTTTGCAGTCCTCGAGCTTTTGCACCTCCAAAAGTGACGATTGACAACCACCAGTAACTTGCAGCAATCGGGGGGGGTCCAGCGAACCCTAACAGATATCGTGACATTCGGATCCAACGCAGTCGGCAAGGGGAAGCCTCAACTGGTGCCGCGGCTTGCCTGGGCCTCCTTGCAAGAGAATCGACCGGATCTGACCCGTCTGATGCTCTGCACATTTTTAAGTTTAAGTCAAGGTTCCACATGATTGATGTTTTTCCCCCCAGCCCAGTGGTGCGGTTCCCCCCTTGGAACATGGGGATCCCTTTAACATCCACAAAAAGAGGCGTACTACGGGTAACTGATTTCTAGTAGGCATCCCCTTTCTAGCAGCCCAGTTGTTTACAGGGAGCCAAGAAGCCAATCGACTTTTAGTTCGCTGGGATTTGAAGGAGATATGGGAGCGTGATGATGTCGAATCTTAAGTCATGTTTGTGTGTGCATGTCTTATAGAGAGTTCATAGCGCAGTTGGTTGGCGTCTAAAAGCGAGGCCAACAGTCCAACAGTAACTTATTGTTAAACAAGGCCTTCCCCCACGCACATAGAGCCTGACTCCCCGGATGTGGATCTGACCGGTTTGAGATGTCAGAGCTCCAACCTGGAACACCTGGGGGTTGCCTGCTTGGCTATCACACAAAATGCAAGTTTCCACAGCTATGACGCCACTTTGAACACCGTGAATCGTAAACGGCGCCCTATTCTATTTGTCTTTGGCCGTTTCCCCGCGAAATCAACTGCCAACTCCCATTGTTTCTGTGGAACACAATGCATAGCCACGACGGGACCCTCATTCCAGTTAGCAGGGCTCGGCCGATTTCTCAGGTCAGCTGCTTGATCATCGCCTTTGTGTACCTGATTCTGCTTCGGTTCCTCCTGGGCACCTGCGCCTCAGCATTCAATTGGGGCCACAATCAAAGCTCGGGTTGAAGGCCCTTTTGCTCTTATGGTTTTGGATAGGCCACTTCACTACCAGGTGTTATGACCCAACTTGGCAGATTTTCCGCGGGTGTTTGTGAGGTACCCTTGTAGCTTGCTTTGAACGAGCTCGTGCATAGGGCCTTTGACTTGGGGAAACTGCACTGGGATCGAACTGGCCCCTCGTGTTGTTAATTTTCCCACAGCCAAAATCTAAGTCTTGTTTGTTTGCGGGGTCCCTTTAACCTAAAATAATAAGCGGCAAACGCAAAAAAGTCAAGACCTCGCCCAAGCGGCTTTTGCATCCTTTCTTGCAGTTCTTTGCACTTGCTCGCTCCAAGAAACTCTTGAACTGTTTGAGCCTAAGAATGCTACTGGACTCTTAGAGTGCCAACAAGTGATTTGAACGCTTTGTTTTCCTAGAGCTTTGACAGTTGGATTATGATTACACCGACCTCACTAGAAATCAGGGCGTTGCATTGCTCCCAGTTGTTATACGTGAATAGCCTGGAAACCCCCTTGACGGGACGAATGTTTGGTAACGTTTGCGATGCCCTTGCCAAGTACACAACCAATCATCGCGAAGTATTCAAAGCCTCTCGCCAAAACAACATGACGCATGGACATGGAAAGGCGTTTGTGCACTTCCATGTTTCTTGGTGGGCGGTAGGTGTAGGTTGAACATCTATCAACATTGACATAGAGGGCGAACAGCGAGCAAACGACAGGAGTCACTTGGCAGATGCTGCCCCCCGTACAGCAACCTTCGGCATTTCAGTGTTTGGCCACTCATCCCTCAGTTTAATAAACACTCAAATCATTTATAAAATATTATATTTATCGTGTATATATATATATGTATTGTATATATATATATATTTGTATGAATTACGAGCCACACGCAAAACTCAGATAGTTGACGGTTAGCAAGAGACGCAACAGGAACTGGTGAGGGCACCTGCCGGAGCCCGGCCTTGCATCATGTTCAATGCCGGTCGTGCTGAGACATGTGCCCACCCTATGCCATACTTGGGGCTGTTCAAAACCAGTACGCAAGATTCGCGGGCCAGCTCTGATCGTCTGTTTCTAAACCACACTTAGGAGAGTCGTTGTCAGTTTTTTCCAGCTGTTTTTTGGGTGGGTTCTGTTCATGTTGTAGTAGGGGGCTGCAAAAAAGAAAAGGACTCAGTTTGTTGCTACCGTTTGGGCTGGAAAGGACAAACCGCAAATGGACAGCTCCGTTCTTCCCTTTGCAAAGGGGACGTGGCACCCTTTGTTGCCGGCCGGTGGAGAGATACTTGGGATTGGCCAACCCTGTTGTTCAATTTCACTGAGTGGAAGCCAACGAAAGTTTGATATGTGCGTATTTTGTCACAGCTCCCATGTTTTGCACCCAGTACCACTGGGAAAACGGTCGTTTCAATTGTTCAATGAACTATTTGTGAAAGGGATTGATTCTCAAAATGTTGCAAGTAGAGGGCAAGGGAAACCCTGTATGTTGCTATGGTTCCAGCACCCTCCAACGACTGCTTTTTCCTACTTGCAAAACTGCAAGTGTTTTTGTTTTTTTTAAGAAGGTTTCGGGGGGGTGCTGCTCGTTGCGTGCCGCGTTCCTCTGTTTTGCCTGTAGCCTGTTTAGGCTTGGTGTTGCAATTGGCCACTTTGGGTTTCCATTTTTGGCCACCTCTAGCATTTGTTTGGTTTCCCCTGGGGCATCCATTGGCCAAAAGTTGTCCAAGTGTTGCTCAGAGGTGTTCCGATATTCTTGAGTCTCAAGTGGCGTGAGTCCATCCTTTGACCCGAAGACTCGCCGACTCAGGCGTTTGGACAGCTTTGTTGGCGGTGCCACGTGGCTGAAAATTTTGGCAGATGCCGTGACCCACTTAGACTTAGACTAGGCTTATTCCAAACTGCCCGACAGCTTGGCACATGATGTACAGCATTTCCGCTGTATATTTTGTAAGGATTGCAGTTGCCATTTCCCGATTGCCTTTCGCTAGGGCTTTGGATTGTCAAACCGCGGCCCCGCTCGAAGAGAAGTTTGGCGGGTAGAACCCCCTTTGCGTGTGTGGCAGGCTGGGTATCACTTTTGGGTCCCCCACAGGCAATTATATGGGTGTCTATTCTTGTGCGCACCCTTTTTGGGGGGCGGATTGAAAGGCAAAGGAACAACCACAATTTTGGGGGAGCGTCCCGTATTTCAAGACAACACCATGTGAGTTTGGTAATTGTCGGCCATAACCGCTGGAAGTCCTTGGTTCTAGGCATCATGGCTGAGCCCCTTTGGCCTAAAATCATGAGACCATTCGAAAACCCAGATTTGTTCGGCTGACGAACCAGTGCTTGACGGCCGTAGTGGGCAACAACAGGGCTCCAGTGCAAGAATGACACTGCTAGCAGGAGACGATGTTCATAGGAGCGCACCCTACCCTGCCAATCCAGGACACCCCCGATTTTGGGCTTTGGGGGTCTCAGCGCCCCGGTTGATCCGGGCTAAGCCACGTGTTTAAGCTAGTTCAGCAGTTCCCCTACAGGTTTGCGGACTTGCCCTTTGGGGAGGAACCATGTTTCAGGGTGGTTGAGACAACCCAATGGTGATCACCTCTCATGCAGAGGCTTGGATTGATTTCGTTGGCCCAGTGTCACGTTGGACTGGTGGCTTTTGGTTGGGGGAAAAACACATTTTTTTGCTGACCCGGCAAGGTTTTTAAGCGACGCAGAAATACCTCTTGGTATCTGCCTGGTATGTTTATTTTTGCCAGGGAACGCGCTACTATTCACCTTGTCCCTTTCTCCGCAGCGCCATTGCGTGTGCGACTTTTGGACCTCTTGGCGCAATGAGGTCCAAATGCAGCTAAGTTCCTTTGACATAACTCACTTTTGTTGGCTTGAAACATTACCTGTTGGGTCTCAAGGTGGGTCTCATTGGTGATTGGGCCTTGAGGAAGTCAAATCAAACGCCTAGGAATACCTCAGGCTTGGTCTAGTCTTCCCCTTGAGGTGTCCCTGTCATGCTTTTCGTGAGTGTCCAGCCTCACCTGGGTGTATCAACCTAGGATATAACTTATGACCTGGGATATTTCTGATTTCTATCCTCACTTACCCCAAGCCCGACTTGCCCCACTTACCGCACTTATATCCATGGTTATAGCCACCTGAGCTGGTCCCGAGCGAGCTCCAGGCTGGTGTTGCTCCTGTTCGGCGGCGGGCTCCTCTTCGCCCGAGCCAGCCCTTGTCTCAGCGTCCGCCCAAACCGAAATATCACACTTGGAGTGTCCGCACTTGACACTTGGGTGCGTCTTTATTTTTACAGGGGGAACCCTAGCGAGAAAGGGGTGATTCTCCCCGGTTTCCCCTGTAAATCTCCCCCAATGAACCAGGTGCCCTCCGAAAAGGCAGACCCATTTTTGGTCCGCCCAATTTTATTGGGCGAAATTGGTTTGCCCTGGCACCCCAGAGAGGCCAAGATGAATTCCTTCGCGACGGAGACGAGCTGCACAAATTGCTGAGTTTGTTTCCAGGCACAACGGTAAGCACATTATTTGGGTCATTTTCTCCTAGCAAATGACCTTTTGGCAGGGTGTGTGGCCAAGTTAAAATGTGATGTGTTTAACATCACGAGTTGCGGGTATTCTTGGTGGGGTTCGGATCGGCCAAATCACGCTAAAGCCAAGCAACAACCAACATCAACCAACACCGCCAGAATGACTCCCAAAGTCAACCAAGGGGTGTCCCTTCTTAGCCCTTGGCCACGTTTCAGCTGCCGGCCTCGTTTTCGTTTTTCGCATCGAAGGCCAGTGTCAGGGCGCGGAGTTGTTCGACACGGGCTTCCAGATGGTGGTGGCCACAGCCACGTGCCCCGAGTGGCTGAGCGGGGCGCGGAAAGGAAACCGGCGCCAGTTTGGGGCACCCCCCGAGGAAAAAAAAAAAACAAGAGACGCACCGAAATGGTCATTTTGGGGGGACCGAATTGAGAAAGCCCCGATTGACGAGAGAACTGTCCAAAGCCGAGATGTGGCTCCTTGAAGGTACCACGTGCTTTGCAACAAACCTCCTGGTTGGGGTGATCCTCACTGGCATCCTTTGAAGAATTCAACGCCCAAAAGGCGATTTTGCCCAACCCAGCTGGAGAATGCGGGAACCATCTGAAAAGCGGTTGATGAACATGAATTGTCTCCTAAATGATGTCCGCCTTTAGAAGCCGACGAAGCAGCAGGGTCCAAAAAGGGTCGCCAATCAGGTAGCTACTATTTGCGGACGCGTGGGAGCGCATCAGCAGCTACCGGAGATGTGCTTGGTTTTCAGCACCTGGTATGAAAGTTGATGGTTGTTTTCGACCGGTAATGGAGGGTGGAATTCCCTCCACAACCAAGTTGAAGCCTGGTGCCAGCTGGCCTGATTTTGGCTTCTTGCTTGTTCAAATTCGGGGGCTTTGGGACGCTCTTGGTGTTCCAGCTTGCTAAGTCAAGATGCTGCCAGACTTTTTTCCGCCTTGTCTCGGGGAGAGTTGCAGAATTCTTGGTGGCCAACTCTAATTTCCCGACGCTCCTGCAAAAGGCGGCCAACTCAAACAGGGCGCGCCCCATGAATCGGGCGCGACACCAACACCTGGGCGGCGCTCAGGTGCCAAAGGAGGGAACCTCGAAGGAGCACTTTGGAAGTTCCCGAGGAATGGAAACCTTCAAAATCCCAAGTCACCCACAGAAATCTCAAAATATACACGCAAGAGAAGCTCCAACACCCTCCCCTGGTCCTGGTGGGGGAGGGTCGTTTGTTGGGAGCTGCTTGCCGTTGCCAGGTACGTCCAGCACCATGCTACCAGTACCTTGCAGCAAGCTGTGGACCCCAACAGCTACGAGGCAGGTGCGATGCTTTGGATCAAGGAACGCCTTGTGATTCGGAAGGCTTGGTTTTTCCATCCCCGCAAAAAAAAGAAGGGATTTTGACTGGAGATCTCCATTTATGGTTTCATGTTCTTCTTTTGACAAAAGTTTGGGGGACGACTAGAGAATCAACCCCCTCCCCACTAAGGTGGGGGGAGATGTGTTCCCCACAATGTGTGTATGTGTTGAGGGGAGGAAAGGACCATTTGGAGGGGGCATCCAAGATGTGATTCGGTTTCCTTCCAGAAGGTGTAGATCCTCGGTTGGAGCAGCTTTGAGCTGCGAGTGGAAGAGTCACCATCCCCAATCACATGGCACCTGACGGCTCCCTGACAAGATTCTTCCTCGTCGTGTGCAATGCTAGCGGCATGTGTCCCTTTGGCAAGCCGGAACGTCAGCATGCAACCGAGTATAGCTACGTCCAAATTCTGTCAATGGATCCTTCTTACTTCTGTTCATAAGTTCGCCAAATACTCGAGGAATCTCTCATGGCGAGGGGCGCAAGTCCTGGCTGTTTGACGCATCATGTGGGATACTGCTCCCCAAGTCGGCTGTGTCGTACGCACCATGGCCAGTACTGATTTGGCCTTTCACTAGTCAGTGGCCCGAATCATTTCGGGGCCCATGTCCATGTATGATAGCTGGAAGCTTAGACACAGCATGTGGTTAGCGCAATTCGGGCTTCATTGCCTTTCTGGAGATATGTTGGGTGCTCTAGAGAAATCACTAGCTGCCTCCTTGTGACAAGACTCCCAAAAGAATACCCTTACCCCTTCCTTTCCTACTAGCTTCACATTTAGCTTGGCACTCGCGTCCAGGGCACAAACCATGCATGTGCCCTACCTGTCATTGTCCAAACGGCTTGAAGTTGCTCGCGTCCCCCAGGCCCCGAATTTCCACCTTCCACCCGCGTAGCGACCCAGCGTCCCAGCGGGAAGCGGAGAAAGAACTGCTCGACAGAAGCAAACACTTCCCTTCAATCGGAGAAGCTGACCGGAGGGTGAAAGACGAAAGCTTGTTCTTGGGGAGCCCCGAAGGAGGGTAACTGCATGTTGAGCATGCTAAGAATTGGGGTCTGAAAAGGGGTGGAAAATCTAAGGCGTTTGTTTATTTATTTATTTATTTATTTTCTGGGGGGGGTCCATTTGGCAAAAGCAGCCTTTAGCAACAGGAGCAACAGGAATTGCAACAGGAGCACTGGCAAACTTGGCGATGTAGCTCGAAAGCTGGTGCACCCGGCTCACCCAGCTCACGCCGGGTGTTCGCCGCGGCAGGTCTTCAGCGAGGAGCTTGTTGGCGATGGCTACAACTACACAGGACAGGGACCCTGTTCATTGATGCCATAAATCTGGGTGAATTATAATCACCTCCCACGACCGCAGCCCAAATGCTGTTTTTGTGGGAAATAGCCCCCCAACCACCTGATTTCAGGTTGAAATACTATAGTTCACCCAGATAAATGGTCCAAACCGCCTGTTGCCCAGGGGGGTCAGTTGTTTCTTGCTTTTTGGGTTTGGGGCGGGGCAGTCCACAAAGGCCATAGGTTCTCCAGAAGTTTAGACTGACTGTTTCTGGGGGTTATCATTGTAGAATAATGAGGCCAGCTAGAGAGAGAGAGAGAAAGAGCGAGAGCCTACCCCGTGCAAGAGGACAATGCGTCACATATGGAATCCGACTTGGGAGTATGGTAATTTCTCACGGTCACTGCATCACTGCACATGAAAACGAGAATCAAGCATGCAATGTTGGTTGTGGGAAAGCCTGTATGAGTACACATATACATACATGCATATAAACATGGTCATATAAGATGAGTCTTTGAATGCTCATGCATCTCGACTGCCAATGTGCTGAAGCCGCGACTGATCAAAAGCGTGCGCCTAGCGCCGTTCCGCGTTCCGCGTTGCCTCGCCCCTTGGCGTGTTTCCGCCTTCGGAGATGCCATTGTCCATGGGCGACAACTTCCCGCACGACGAGGATGCTCAGGACAGGGTTGGGTGATTCAAGACGTTTTGAGCGTGTTGAAATACAGTCGTCCATGTTGTATCTCAGAATGATCTGCTGGCTCAGCAGGAAATCTCCCAGGGTTTGTGGAATCAACCGAAAGGGGATTCCGTTGAAGGAAGGCATTCCCTACCGCTCGATCCAGCACGATCATGAGCACATTCTTGGCTGCTGGCTTTGATCTTTAAGCTTCAACTTGTTGGGAACATATCTTTGTTTAACCCACAACACGGCAAACAGATAAGCCGTTCTCGCAGGGGGCCATAGCCAACAGCCATAGCATGCCTGATTGAAAGGACTGGTATGGCCGCCTGGATGAGGCAGACATCCGTGCCTCACAACAGGAAGGCGAGCCTTGGCAGCTCTGGAGTCGGCTCGATCAAACAATGTGAGCAGCGGTCAACAGTTGTGTGTGCGATGTTTCGAGGGCATCCATTTTGAGGGGTTTCAAGCGAAGCAACAAAGGGCAACCACTCAATTTTTCCGGGTCCCCGTATTTTGACGCATGCGCATTTACCATCATCCACGGTAAAGAGGATGGCATGGGGCACTCCCAGATTCCATGAGGAAATCCGGGGGGCTGATTTGCTCCAAATTTCCGTTAGTCTTTGGTCCATTTCGGAGGGTCATGGGGGCACTCACTCCAAGTTTCTCACCAAGAACCAGGGGATAGTAGCTTCCCATGTTTTTGCTTCCGAAAAAGCATCGCGACATTGTGAAATCGGTGCCAGTTGGAACAGTTTGACTCCGTCATCAGTTCATCTATCTCAGCTAGTGCAAGATAGTGTTTGTCCGGAAGCCAAAAGGCGATTCTTTAACCAATGGCAGTTCAAGCCAAAAACCATGGTTTAAACTCTCAAGCCGGAATCGTCCAGCTTTTTGGTAACACTAAGGGGGGTTTCTTCAAAGCGATAAAGTGTTCATGGGAACAACCCATATTAGTATCCCAAAAAGCCATTGGTGGTTCAAACCACGGCTTAAACACGTGAACCACCCATTTGCCCCTCCCCTTTTGGAGGGTCCAACGTATTTTCGTCGGTTTGAACCGGTGGCGGTTTCTTCACCGAAGGAACCTTCAGCTTCTTGGCTTCCGACAGACCCATTGGCCAGCATCCTGGACGCCCAGAGATGGGAGAAGGGCTCAACGGAGCAACGGGCCGCTATGATCCATGGCTACCTTGGTGGATATTTTTTGGAAGGTGTGGTCTTGGAGGAAACCCTTTTTTGGCACTGGCTCTAAACAGAAGTGCAAAGGACAACAACCTCGGATCTGTTTGACTTTTTCGTGTGTATGTGTGCGTCTGTGTGTGTGTCTCTGTGTGTGTGTGTGTGTGTTTGGAGGGTGCACTTTTTGCAGTGGTTTTTAAGGGGAGCAGCTATTTTGGGGGGTTCCCCTATGTTGACACATACCCATTTGGTTGGATCATTTTGAGTAAACCCCTAGACTTTCTTTGGTTGGATGCAGAAGTGAAGAACAAGTATAACCCCAAGTTGCCTTCCTGCTGAATGTATCTTGGATCCAAGGGGAAATGGTTGGGCGAAACAGAGACCAGTTTCCCAAGATGGCGCGAGCCATCCGGATACGCGTTGCTTTCCCCACCGTGGAAACGCACATGGCTCTATTTCAAAGGCAGCGCTTGGGAAAGCCATAGGGGGCTCCACAAGGCACGGGGAGGGTCGCTTCAAGTGCTTCCTTTTCTTGCACGGGTTCTCAAAAGTTTGAGGGGGTTCCTTTCAATTTGGACCATTTGTCAGAGGGTAGTGTTGCAGATGCCGCTTCAGTGGACCCAGCACCCGCCTGAAGATAAACGAAGAAAATAGCGAAATATTTCAGGGATGTTCCGATTCCTTCAAGGGGTGTGGAAGCTTTGCGTGTGTGTTCTGGCAGCGCCGGATGGAAGCCTCTAGTTGATCAATACAGGGGCGTCCTGTTTGAGAGAGAATCCTCCTCTTTGTTCGTTGTTTCTTCTTTCTTTCTTTTTGTTTTGTAGATGAGTCCGTGGTCAGCATTGCTCCACAACATTGCCAGATGTTGATTACCTATGACTGTTTGTTGCATTTGTGGTTTTCATTCATTTCCACAGTGTCCACTCCAACCAGCAAAACAAATCACCAGTTGCAGCCCACCTCTCAAATCACATCAGAATACAAATTAAGGTTGGCGAAATGCTGACAAAACACTGGAAGACTACTGTCCTCAAAAGATAACCCCCTCTGCCATATGAGAGCCCATGGCATGTATGCCAGCTCTACTTGCAAAGCACCATGGAACAAAGCTTGCCTTTGGTGCTACCAATGTGCCCCACTAGAAACAACTGTCCTATCCATGAAATCTACAGTCTATTGACCTTTTTCTCGTTCAGGGGACTTTAAGCAACCCAGGGAAAGACATTTGTGAAGCAAAGCACAGCTCCAAGGTCTTCTACTTAGGCATTCCTCAATTCAGGTCGGTTTGACGGCCTTGGTTGGCAATGTGGATGGACGATATCCTGCTTACCTGGTTTATCCCAGTCTGCGTAGGGCTTCAGGTGCCACCGACAAGACTTGCATTTCGTCCAACTGGAACCCCATTACTCCATCAGGATCATGGACTTCGTGATGTTCTCCGAGAAGAACATCATCCCCAGGAAGATGATGCCCCTGATGATCAACAAGCCCCATCTCTGAAATGCTGGTTTGGCGGGTTGATTCCCTGGCTTTTGTAGATGGCAATTGGCCACCAAACCACCAATCCAAACCACAAGTTTTTGGAAGCGGAGAACCTTTTGGATATCTTTCCCTTGAGCCAGGGGAATTCGAATCCCAATTCGGGTTCCGGAAGCTGCGCCACCCAGTTCTTTGATATCCTTACCGTTGCAAATGTGCAAAACAATGACCTTCGGGGTCTGGTCCAAATCTATGTTGTATTTTTTGGGCGGCTAAATCAGCATATTCAGAGAGCAATATGCTTGCAGCCACCCAGGTGTGGGCCAAGTTTGGCATTTCAGTTCTGAAGCCAATTTGTCAATCCGAAAAGGCCAAGGAGTGTTCCATGTACTTGTACATGTCGAGTCTATTTGCATGTGCATATGGGTGCATCTGTTTGTACATGTCTACGCTCTTAGGATCTCTTAGGTTGTACGTGCGCACAACGATGTACTCATGATATACACAGATAGATATGTATATATATATATATTAATGTTTATATATATATATATATATGCTCGCACATTGTACGTATAGCTATGTATGTATGTATATATATGTGGAACATATACGTGCGACATGTATGCATAGGTAGATGTATGTCCTCTGGTTGCAAGCGAGCCCCTCCTTGCCACATCCATGTGGGTTTCATGTTGTCATGGCAAGTCTGAATGGCAATCAGCCTTGCCAGTAACGGGAGCCCGCGACTGTCGAAATTCTGGTTGGTTTCTCCGGAGTCAACATTCAAATCAATCAGGGGCCACCCTGAAAGCTCAAAGCCACCAGCCCAAACCATAAATGAAGGGTCACTCAACTTCTTTCTTCAAAGTCACGCTCCGAGGGCCAGTTGCTCAGCGGATTCCGCCTTTTGGCTCTTTTTTGGGTGGGTTCCTGCTCAAACTCCACCAGAGTCGCTGGCGAAGTGAGTAAACGCTGGACAGTCAAATTGGTTCGCAAAGAATTGCGGGGCCGCTTGGGGTGTCCTTCCAGCAGACCAGCATCGGTTTTCTCTATACTGAAGCCACTGTCTTTGTTTGAAAGGACACGGGTGCATATGGCTGCTGAATAGCTGAGAATATATTTCATGCTCGCGCAACGAAGCCAAAAGGGGACAGTGGTTGTTTCCTGGACACCCAGGAACAAAAAACCAGCCCAAGCGTACTGAGGTTCCTGATTCAACACCCGGATTGGATGCCGTTGCTGCGCTCCAACAAGCCTCTCGGCGAAGAACGTGGTGATTTGCTCGGGGCTTTCAACCCTGCGAGTCACGTAGCCCTAGTTGGTGGTTTGGGTGGTTTGCTTTTGGATTTGAAGCCCTGGTTCTGGAAGAGAATAAGGGGGAAACCAGCCCCAACCAATCCAGAATCCAAATTCTTTATTGGGAAGCTGATGTGGCCTCACTCCTGAGATTCCGGACTTATTCTCCCAGCCTTTTTTGAAAAAATAACCGTTACTGAGGGGTCCTGGAAGACTATGCTCGTTAGAAAGGTGCCTTTTGGTGTGTGCTATGTTAGCGGACAGGAGTGTGAAACTCTTCGGGGACCGACGCGGTGAGTAGGGAATCGGGGGGGTTTTCGGAATGATCGGAGGGGAATCCCCTTAGAGGACACCGCGGGAGACGGTCA